GCTCAGATAGCTTACCGTCTGTGATGGACAAGGCACCATGGTATGTGGCACAAAGTAACACTAACACCACCTTCATCCTCAACATATTGTATGAGAGAGAGAGAGAGAGAGAGAGAGAGAGAGAGAGGGTGTTGGCAATGAAATCGGAGTGCTGTGCCAGTGCATTATATGTATTTCGGTTTCTGATAAAGCCCCAAGATTTTTCGAAATTCACGTATATACCACTCAAATTTTCTAAAGGATCAGATTCCATTTGAAGGGTTATTTTAAGTATGACTTATTTTTTTATTTTTTATTTATTATAAAAAAAATATACCAGTAACATGACAGAAATAAACTAACAAGTTATTTGGGGGTGTCCCAAAAGAGTTAATTAGGATCGTTAGGTTGTGTCCAGTTAACCAGTAAATTGTTTAAGCTTGATTTGAGAATTTAACTAGTTTTAAAAGAAAATTTTAATATACATCTTTTTAAAAAATAATATATCATATGCACCCTAATTATATCATTTTTATCTTTATTTATGATTAATTTTTTTCTTTAATTATGACAAATTTTAGTTATGACTCATAAATTTTTAAATTATGCCTTGTATTGTATTTAGTTATGACATTTTTTATTATTTTTTTTAGTTATGATTCGAAATTTTTAAAATTTTAAATTTTATCATTTTTTTTTAATTATAACTTAGAAGGTACATATGGTGCACACTTTTTGAAGGGTGTGCACCATAGTGTTTTTTAATTTTAAAATATATTCAAATTTGCCTTATTATTTAAAATTGATTTGAAAACTTCACGAATTTAAAAACATATTTATGTTTTATTTACCTTTTAAGTCAATGTCAAATTAATTTTAATCGAACAAATCATTAACTAAGCTCGAGTTACTTTTTATGTGAATGATATATGAGAGGGAGGTTTCCGACCTAATATTTGGCTGAGCTGGTTTGGGCCGGATTCAAAGTCCCTTGCTCGGTCAGACGCTGGGTGCACACCGGACCGAGGACTCAGTCCGATCAACTTGGAACAACTTTAGATTGCCAGTCCGGAGAAGATGTGCTCTACAGAGTTGGATGGGATTAGTCCTCCAAACGTCAAGATCGACTGAGCTCTTGCTCAGTCGAGACTAAAGAGCTTGGCTAAGCCACTGTCACGGCCCAAACCCGCCCCTATAGGTTTAGCATCGTAATCGGCCAGTAATCCTTGGACTACCGAAGGCCTCTGAACAGATTAACAAGTTTAAGGGGCTAGCGGAAGCAAATACATAAATATAGTTGTCCAATGAGCTGTGCTGACTTATATGAAACGGAATATTTAAAAACTCATATACATAAACAAAGTCATTCATACATTATACCCACACACATTAATGTATCTAAGTACAACCAACAAAACAACTGAGTCTTGCATATACAGAAACAACAGAACTTAAACATTGGACACTTTGGGAACCTCCACGTGAGGCACAATGGTTGGCTGACAACAGAACACAAATCCAGACAAAAGCCTTCAGGCTCGGGCTCCAGAATGTTCACCTATACATATATATACACACAGTGAGCTAAAGCCCAATGAATAACATTAAGGTAAAGGGTTTAGTGAACGAAATTCGAATATATCATAAGCAGAAAACATACCAGAGCATAATCATTCTCATATCAGAACATAATAATGGTACATCCCATAGAACACATCACAGAACGTCTTCCGACTAGAGTAATCGGTTCCGGATACCGATTAACACATATCATCACAATGAAGTGGCTAACGAGATCTCGTAAACTTGTATGTCATGGACCCGCATTTTCATGTCGTTCCCCATGACTTGGGACTATCTATGGATGCCATAATAGATTTCAAACTTGGAATATTCATTCACGAAAACAGATATCATTTCAGAAATCAAAACTTACCATATTTCATTTGGAACGTAATTCATATAAACGTATCTTTACAATAACGTTACTCATAGTGGTCCCAGCAATGGTCAACCAACCCTCGAGTCTTGACCTACAGTCACAAGATACATAACACAAGCATGCCTTATCATTACACATTCAAGAGGCCATTAAGGCTTAGCTTTTATTACATTGATTCTTAACATTTCTTGTCACAATGCCTAACACACACACACTTGCAGTCTCGGAACATAACACATTCTTTTCTTAGTGTGTTTCTAATCCATAACCTCATTGTCAAAGCTTAATTAAGGCTTAGAAATGCCTAAGATGCAATGAGGATGCCAAAACATGCCTTGGAACACTTAGGAAAATTTCTGAAAATAAGGTCCACGCTCGAGCGTGGCTTACCCCGCTCGAGCGGATTGCAAACTTATGAAAAAGTGCTGGATGCATGAAATTCACGCTCGACGGGCGCTCGACCCCTGCTCGAGCGTGTGACACAGACCCTCGCTCGAGCGTGCATTCCCCCGCTCCAGCGGACTGTAAAACGTATGAAAGTGCTAGAAACACACATTTCACGCGTAAGCGTCACTTCCCCCGCTCGAGCGTGAGTCCAAAATCTGCAAATTCCAGATTGAACCTTCAAGCTCAAAATCAATTTTAAATGTACCAAATTCGATCCTTTTGGGCTAATTTTTTGGAAAACACTTGTAAACTCATAGTATGACATGTTTCAAAGATCAATTTGAGAAATCAAAACCCAAAGGTAGTTCAATTGAACACAAATTTCAAGGAGTTTTTATGAACAAGACTCGAATGTAACATGCATGAACTTAAATGAATTTAAAGCTTCAAACACAAGATCAAATGAGCCAATCCTTTCAAAAACATGAGGAATTCATAAACTAGAACCATAATATGAACATGCATGTGGGAGTTTTCATAAAAACAACTTCAAAACTCTACAACATGTACATGCATGCATGAATTCCTACTCAATTCAACATATTAAGCTAATTCTTAACTCTACTCTTCAATATATCATGAACCATGCAAGAACTAACTTAAATACAATTTCAAGAAGATGGTTCCTCTGCCTTATGCCTTGAATTCAAGATGTAGAAGCTCAATTATGCAAATTTCCTTCAACTCTCTTAATTTCCAAGCCAAAACATGATGAAATCAAGCCTTCCTCCCATCTCTCCCTCTCTAGTCGGTTTAGGCTCAAGAAATAGCTGAACAAAGTACTAGAAATAAAGCTCAAATGTGTTTTATGAAGTGGGCCACTAAGTGGCAAAATGGTGATTAAGGCCAACTATTGTAACTCAGCTTATTTAATCCAATTTAGTCATTCCAAATTGAATTTTAATTAAATCTACCATAAAATCACATATATTCTGATTAGCATAAAACATTAATCGATTTTAGATTCGGCCGCCGATAAGGCTTTCAATCTACATATTAAAGTGAAATTCTCAACAGATATTTCTATAAGTAACAGATAGAAAACCAAAATCATGGAAAACACAAAATAAACACATAAGTTATTTTAATTCTCTCATTAGCATCGTTAAATACGGATTAGTAGCTAATTATGGATCGGGGTTGTTACAGCCACGATGTGGAGTTATCAAGGAAACCAAACAAGTAGCACGGTCGTGAGGTGATGGCGTGACATCGCACTAAGCGTAGTTCGGTAGGGAGTACTACGCAGCACCCCGAGACTGCTGGAAGGAGATTCCGCTGTCCGTACGCGTCAATACCATTTGGCGATTTCGCTAGGTGGTGTTTAGCTATATTGGTGCTGACACGTAGGGAAACGTGAGAGGAGAACAGGTCCACGCATCCCGAGGGAAATGGGCACAGAAACACGCGCAAAAACTATAGAAATGATATTGCGCCTCTATACTCAGGACTAGAACATCCTCTGATCAGAGCTCACCTACCACTTTGTCTCCTCTCTTTTCTCTCTCTCTCTAAGTGTGTTAACTAAAACCCCGGAGTGAAGCACAGCTTCGACACGAGGAGTATGGATAACGTCTGATATTTGGTTCCTGTACAATTGACACCATCTGTGGGAAGGCTCCGAAACAAAACCTTGTCCTCCAAGCTCTTCTGATCATTTTCCATGGCGAACAACGACGACGTTCCACTGTCCGCCATCGACAGCATCACTCTGGAATCCGTTTGGAGAAAAGATGGTCTTGTTGCCATCCCTGCCATGGCTGGCCTGGATACCTTTCCTAAAGGACTCCCCAGAGATGCGCGAGACAAGCGCATGAAGAGCACTGATCACTTGCGGAGTCCCGACAGGCACTGGCATCGAAGAGAATCGCACTCTCAGTGCCTAGAGCATAAGCTGCGAGACCAAGACGCCATCATTTGAAGGATGGCGGCGGAGATAAAGACGTTGAAGCGGCAGGTCAAATGGAAGGGTGTTGCTAGAGTGGGTAACCACAGTGAACGCACCTAACTCCGTCCCTCGGGCAGCCAGAACTAGCAGTGGACACCCTCCCTCTCCATCACCAGAAGTTATGGGGTTGATGACTCTGATCCGCCAGCAGAGAACTCTTGCGTGCAAGACAGCAGTTACCGTCCCTCACATTCGTCGACGATGTCGAGATATTCATACTCCACCCATTCGGAGGACCTGAAGGATGTCTTGGAAGAACGAGCGTGCCGGCAGAAGGCGCAAAGGATGTTGGCGCTGCAACGGTTATCCCACGGAGGTCGCGCTAGTGAAGAAGTCGTAATGCTGCCACTACGTCCAGCTGTATATGTCCCTTTGGACAGAGACTTGGCAAAGCTGAGCGCCACCCTCTTCTCCCTCAAGATAGAGACCACACCACTCTCTGCGGGATTTCACCAGCCCAAGTTTATACTCTATAATGGAAAAACCGATCCATACATGCATGTGAGCCACTTCTGGCAAGTTATGGTTGGCTATAGGCGTAATGACGTGCTTATGTGCCTTATTTTCCCGTCAAGTTTGGGTGAGTTGGGCCTGAAATGGTTCGAGAGGGTGCTGGAGAAAAGTATCGAAAGCTGGCAACAGTTAGCGAAAGCATTTGTGACGCGATTCAAAACCAACACTAAAATGCCAAAAGAAGTCGACCATCTTCTGAGCGTGAAAATAGAACCGAGTGACTCACTCAAAGCATACAATGCCAAGTATTGGGAAACCTTCAATGAAATCCCTGATTGCCCAATCAACTTGGCAATCACCCAATACAAGTGTTATCTCCCGGTTGGACATAGACTGAGAGACTCGCTCACTATAAACCAACCAACAACCATGGAGCTACTAATGCAACGAATCAACGAGCACATTCGGGTAGAGGATGATACTGCCGCGGCCACCGCAAAGACAAATTCGGTGACAGCGGATAAAAGAATGGCTGGAAAGGATCACGTTGTCGGACAGGAGGCAAACTGTCTAAGTAACTGTGAAAGAGAGTCAGACCACGATGCAGACTGGAACAATCGGGGTAAGGGTCGTCACAATGACCAAGCTGATCACCCTCGGGACGCCGTGGAAGATGTGAAGAGAAAGTTGAATGCCCGAACCCGCATCACCACGGTTTTCAAAATCTCAATCTACCGTACGTTCGATTTCTGGCTAAGTTGGGTGACACACAGAGGGGCTTACTGAGTTGGGTGACGCACAGAGGGGCTTCAATCCGCGGTATCACTGCACCTTTCATGGTGAGCGAAGGCATTGTATCAAGGACTGTTTGCCTCTGAAACAACATTTGGAGGAGTTAGTGGCTGCTGGCCACTTGGACTATTACATTGACGGAGTCGTCAAGGCCGCACCCCATGCTCCAGCTGAACCAAACGGTCTGGACGCCCTAAAAGCAGCCCCTCAAGGTGTGATCAATGTGATCCATGGTATCATCAAGCCAATGCGTGTATACGAGCTCCGAGAGATGATCAAAAAAGCAGAGTATATGAGGGAAGTCTTGTTAATCCAGCCCACTGTCAAAAAGAGCAAAACTGAGGTGAGAGATGTGCTCAACTTTTCAAGCCAAGCTCTTGAAAGAATTCAAACGCTGCACAATGACGGGCTGATGATCACCCTTCGTATTAGGAACTTTGACATAAGGTGCATTCTGATCGACCAAGGTAGCTCAATCGAAATAATGTACTATGACGCCTTCAAGCAACTCAAGTTAAGTGATAAAGACTTGGCCCCAGCAACCTCGCCATTGGTCGGCTTCAACTCGCAACCGGAGTGGCCCATGGAAAAGATCATTTTACTGGTCAAAGCTGGGTCCGTGGTCAAGCAGGTGGAGTTCTGGATGTTGAAGGTGCCTTCCACATATAATCTGATCTGGGCAGAGAATGGCTTTACACCATGCAAGCGATGACTTTGACTTACCACCAAGTCATGAGGTTCCTCTCTGCTACGGGGATGATTGAAGAAATTTGGGGCAATCAAATCATGGCCAAGCAGTGTTTCGTGATTGTAAATGGGAGTCGAGCTGCCAAAGGCTTCGTGCGAATGATCGAAGGACCGGAAGATCAAAGTGTTTTGGATGATGTGGGTACCAGGGCCGAAAAAAAGACTGTTGAAGACTTGATGGAGGTAAGGACCAACGAGGATAATCCTGAGAAGTTCTTTCTGTTAGGATCCAGCCTGACCGCCCAAGAACAGTTGGAGATGGTTGAGTTTTTGGTGGCGAATATCGAAGTGTTTGTATGGACACCTTATGACTTGCCTAGCGTCAATCCAAACCTTATTTTCCATTAACTCAACATCTTTCTGGATGCCCGTACTGTCATTCAAAGAACGCAGAAATTAGTGCTTCATCATGCCGAGGTAATGGTAGAAAATGTCAAAAACTTGCTTGGAGCGAGGGCAATCCGGGAAGTGCACTACTCTCGGTGGATTTCCAACACGGTCCCGGTGCCAAAGAAGAACAGGAAATGGCAAGTTTGTGTTGGCTACAAGATAGTCAACCGCGTCTTCCCCAAAGACAGTTTTCCCTTGCCTAGAATCAACCAACTGGTGGACCTTACAGCCGGTCACAACCAACTCAGTTTCTTGGATGCTTACGGCGATTTAAGGGTGTACACGGTCCGGATTGGTTCGGTTCTGAGAAAATCCAAGAATCGAACCGATTCTAACGGTTCTGTGATTTTGAAAACCAGAAGAGACCATTACACTTGTAAAACCGGACCAGAACCAAACTGAAATAACAGTTCGATTTCGGTTCGGTTCACGGTTCCAAAAATTTCTATTTACAAGAATAAATTGTTAATATTAGCAAAATAATTACTCAAACTAATTACATTTAACTCATGATAAAAACTAATAATATTAAGGCATTACTCAACATTACATATCTATATCATCCTAATATCATTAAAATTACAAAAAACCAATTAATAAAAATTAAACTTGATATTATATATATATATATATATATATCTTTTAAAATTCAGTTTTGTTCAGTTCAAACTGTGATTTTTTTCATAAAATCCATTAACCGAACCGTTTTTACGGTTCTCATATTTCTTAAATCGAAACCGAACCAATTTCTAATAGAACCGAACCAAACCGTACAATTTGGTCTGGTTCGGTCCGGATTACCGGTTTGAACAGATTTTTGAACAGCCCTACCGTGATTATCATCAGATTGCCATGTATAAGCCTGACCGGGAGGTTACCTCTTTCACTACGCCAAAGGGGTTGTTCTGCTACTTGGTTATGCCTTTCGGGTTAAAGAATACAAGGGCAACCTGTCAAAGGATGGTCACGAAGATGTTATTTCCCTTTCTTGGCCGAACAATGGAGGCCTATATCGATGACATGGTCGTGAAGAGCAAACGCGAGGTTGACCACCTATCCGACTTGGCAGAGATGTTCGTCATTCTCAAATGACACAAGTTATGTCTGAACGCATTGAAGTGTGCCTTCAGCTTTGGGTCGGGGAAGTTCTTGGGTTTCTTGGTCATTAACTGAGGGATTGAGGCGGATCCCTCTTAAATCAAGGCCATACAAGAATTGAAGCAGCCCAACTCAACAAAGGACATGCAACATCTTGCCAGGATGGCAGCCGCGTTTAACCGATTTATAAGCCGGTCTTCAGATCATTGCTGCCCTTTCTTTCGAGGCTTGAAGCCCAAGTTTTCCTGGGATGAGGAATGCGATGGAGCCTTAGCCAAAGTAAAGTATATCTCTCATCTGCTCCGCTGTTAGCCACGCCGAATCAAGGTGAGGAACTTTATCTTTACTTGGCCGTTTCTCACCATGTTGTAAGCGCAGTGCTCGTTCGGGCAGAAGGCATCCAACATCTACCAATCTTCTACGTAAGCAAAACCTTGCTCCCGGTGGAGTCAAGATACTTGCCGCTGAAAAAACTCGCCTTGGCACTAATGATGGTCTCAAGGAAATTGGCACACTACTTTCATGCTCATACCATCATAGTGCTGACCGAGTTCTCTTTAAAAGCTTTATTTGAGCAGGCAGACTTCTCCGGCCGAATACTGAAGTGGGTAGTCGAGTTGAGGCAATTCAACATCAAGTTTCAACCGCGAACCGCTATCAAAGCCCAAACATTGGCCGACTTCGTTGCAGAATTCTTGCCTGGAATTCACTCGATTTGCCTGGTGGATCTTACCGACATAATTGGGCTGCAGGGGATAGGCACGGTGAAAATTGCACAGCCTCCCATCCAACCAAACGTCGAAGGTGACACGGAAGTTGCGCGCTCGTCTATAGGCCCATCACTTGATAGCCCACTTCAGCATAGCAATGCGCCGTTGGATTTAGAAATAACATGATAACCTACTAGATCCAACGTCGCATCGACAAAGGGGGATGAAGGCATGTTTGTTACAATCGTCAACGGCGCGCTTGCCACAGAAATAGCCGAGTGTAGACACCCCGTTTTTGACAGCCCTTATGACTTGGATGTCCTTGCATATACACCGATGATGAGTTTATATGGTTGCCAAGTGATCGAAGTTCTCAGTGGAATGCCCTAGTTTTGAGCCTTTCAAACGCTGTACCTTTGTTGTCCCAGTTTTGGACCAAGCCTAGATTTTCCAGCCTGCAGCCTCTGGTGGCCTGCTGGTGTAACAACCCCGATCAGTAATTAAGTACTGATCCGTAATTAAGGATGTTAATGAAGGGATTAAAATAAATTATGCGTTATTATGTGTTTTGTACGTTATTTGGCTTTCTATCTGTTACTCATAGTAATAGCTGTCAGGAATTCTATTTTGATCTGAAAATTGGAAGCCTTATCGATATCCAAAACTGAAATTGGTTACATCAATATGTTATTTAGAATTTTTAGAATGCTATGGTAAGTTTAATTAAAAATTGATTCGGAATGATTAATTAAGTTGTGTTTAGATGGACCAAATGTTTTAATTAATGTATTAATACATCACAAGTATATATATATGCCTTATAAGCTCATTTGTGCTCAACAAACTTGATTCAAGTGGAAAAATCTAAGATTGTACATTCTAAAGAGAGAGAGACTCCATTCTAGAGAGAGAAAGGAAGAATTTGAAGAATAAACTCAAAGATTTGTAGGTACTCATCAAGATTGTGCAAGAATTTGGCAAGATCAAGGCTCTATGTAACAACCCTGATCCGTAATTAGCTACTAATCCGTAGTTAATGATGCTAATGAGAGGATTAAAAGAAATTATGTGTTTATTCTGTATTTTGCATGATTTTGGCTTTCTATCTGTTACTTGTAGAAATATCTGTCTAGAATTTCGTTTTAATATGAAAATTGAAAGCCTTATCAGCGTCCGAAACCGAAATTGATTACATCAGTGTTATTTGGAATTTTTAGAACCATATGGCAAATTTTATTAAAAATTGATTCAGAACGATTAATTAGGTTGTGTTTGGTTAGCCTAATGTTTCAATTAATGTATTTTAGCATCATAACTATATATTCAACACATTTAGCTCTTTTCCCCTCATTCCTTGAGTGCCAAAATCTGAGAATTCATTTTAGAGAGAGAGAGAGAGAGAGAGAGAGAGTGCAATTCTAAAGAGAGAAAGGTAGAGATTAAGGAGAAATTGAAGGCTATAGCTTGAATTGGTCAAAGATTGTGCAAATATCTAGCTATTGAAGACTTTAGGTAAGATTGCAACCTCTAGATTGTGCATCTAAGTTATTAGCATGAGATTTCATCAAGATCATGAGTTTAATTGCATAAAATAAGCTTTGAATGAAGATTTGAGTTGTAATTCATACATGCATGCTTAGTTTAATTTCATCATTTTGAACATGATTCATATCATCCATGTTTGAATTATCATGTTTTGAACCTTGATTTCATGTTTTGAAAAGGTATTTCTTACATGCATGGAGCTTATGAGCTCAATTTACAAGTTTCATGAGTTTTGGAGCAAAGAGATTGAAAAGTTTTGCATGCATGTCTATTCCTTTACAAATTGAGCATGATTTCCAAGAATTTTCTAATGCATGTTTGAAATTCATCTTAATTATGGGAAATCATCAAGTTTCAAGTTGTTTTGTGGTATTTGATCATGTTTTGAGAAGCTCAAGATCAAGAAAATCCATGCATGTTGTGTTCATGAACATTCTTAAAGTTTAAGTTAAAATTGTGAGCTTTTGGAAAACTCTTGGGCCATGATTTTATGAAATAATCCTTAATTCATCATGTTTTACAAGTTTTCTAGGTTATCTCAAGTTTTAGGGCCCAAGGGATGTGTTTTGAAGTTTGAAATTCGAGTTTTGAGCTTGGGGGTGCAATCTAGAAATTCCAGAATTTGCATCTACGCTCGAGCGTGGGAGTTCACACTCGAGCGACCACTCTTTGTGCGTGCACTTCCGCTCGAGCGACCTAAAGTCCGTTCGAGCGTGAATTGCAAGCTCCCAGAAGTTTCATATCTTTATAGACCGCTCAAGCGAGGGAATCTGCGCTCGAGCGACCACCCTCATTTTGCATGTTCGCTCGAGCAAAGAAAGCTACGCCCGAGCGGGGACCCTGTTTTCAGAAATTTAACTAAGTGTTTTCCAAAATATTTTGGCATCCTCATTGCATCTTAGGCATTCCTAAGCCTTAATTAAGCCATGGTAATAAGGTTATGGATTAGAAACACACTAAGAAAAAGAATGTACTAAGTTAAGAGTTTATAAGAGTGTGTTTTAAGCAATGTGATAAGAAAGAATATGAGCTATTGTAATGAAAGCTAAGCCGTAATGGCCACCTGAATGTGTAATGATAAGATATGCTTGTGTTATGTGCTTTTGTGTCTGTAGGTCAACATCTGGAGATTCATTGACCGTTTGCGAGAACCACTGTGAGTAACGTTATTGTAAAGATACGTTCATATGAATTATGTTTCAAATGAATTATGATAAGTTAC